GAGCAGCTGAGCTGTGACACACTGGGGAACACTGAAAAACACTAGAAAACTAAGAAAATAAACACAGATCGTGACAATTATGGAGTGTGATTTATTTTCAACTCAAATTATCTTCAAACTAACGAAATATAAAGTTGTTAGGGAGGAAAATCTGACTGCTCGTAAAATATACGACAGGTCTGGACCACTCGTGAATTTTGTTCGTATCTGAAAAAAAATCTTAGAATACGAAAACATTGGTGAATGCCACAAATTCTTCTAAATCACTCCTACACACAACTTAAGAAAACATCTGTGCGTACGAAAGGCTCTTGCATGAGGCCCATTGTTTGTAAATACAATCCATCATCCATTATCTATAAACACTTCTTCCTTTCAGGGTCACTGGTGCCCATATCCAGCAGTCACAGTGCGAGGGGCGGGGTACACCCTGGATAGGTCGCAAGTCCATCACATTAAAGCTCTATCATGCAAGGAAAATGCCACACGTGAACACCATCCAGAGATGCTGCTGTCTTCTCTAAGCCGAAGGTCATTTAAAAATGACAGAGGCCCTCTTGGCGTGGTTAAGGTTTGGACCCAGAAGCAGGCAAGGAACTCAAACCAAAAAGCGGACATGCAAACTTACTTTACAGGAGCAGAACATGAAGAGAAACCAACACAACGCAGAACTGATTCTCTAACACAAAGACATGCAATATAAAGGGGACACTAACGAGCAGAAATTACAAACACCTGACAGGGAGACAAACAGGAACACGAGTGGGAGGAGCTGGGGAGGAACATGGAGGAGCAGGAGAACACAGAATGAAAATAACTGAGACAAACCACAGATCCTCACAGAGAGGCAAAGAAAACTGTTCTGTGATCAGATGAATCAAAAACCATGAACTCCACATCCTCTGGATGAAGGAGAAGGACCATCCCACCTGTTATCAGCAAACAGTTCAAAAGCCTGCCTCTCTGATGGTATAGGGGTACATTAGTGCACCCCACACCCTTAAAGTGTTTTTAAGAGTATAATTTAATTACTTAACCTAATAACTTCAGCATTTGATGTGTTATGAAACAAAAAATATAGCTAAGATTTAGGACTGCAGAACATCATTTTTCATCAATCAAATTTGTTTGTTAAAAAAAGTTAAATTTCTTAATCCTTCTAAACCTTTGATATGTTTATTCTGTTATGAATAAAACAAGAGATTTGCCAATCTTTGCGTTATTTTTTTATTGACATTCACACAACATCCCAAAATTGTCCAAACTGGGCAGAGGGGGCACGCTTTTTTTTTTTTAAATTTTTTATTATTGTTGCAGTTCTAACGCAGACAGGAAATAGTGCTGGCAGAAGAATGTGCACTTGTTTTTGGAATGTGGACAGGAAACATCAGGCCGTCCTTCGTCTCAGGACCTCTCCAGAATAAACAGGCCTTTATATTTGGGAGGCCTATTTTAAAATGACAATAAATGCTTATGTGATGCTTTTTGCTCATTGAGACACGACTTTAAATCTGCAGCACGAACTTGTTTAAATGAACGAGTTTATACGATACAAACAGCATTGTGTAAGAGTTAAAGGAAGAGTTTGGTGGGAATTCTGTATAAGGATTTAATGGAATTAAATAATTCTTAAAGTCAATGGCACTGGCTGATCATTGACTAATTGCACCTGATGAGAATTCTACAAAACGTTTCACTTGGTGGAAGTATACACTTAAAGAACTGATGCTGTTTTTAGGCCAAATGATGCCCAGACTACCTGTCGATATATTTTTTCTGCTCACTCACTSTGGTTAGTGCTCAGAATCACAACATGTATCTGTACTTTCTTATTGCTTTCTGTTGTCTGCTCTTTTTTCCCCTTTTAGTTTGTCTCCACTCTCTGCTTGGCAGACTGCTCCATCCTCCAGTGGTCTGTAAATGTGGGGGGAGTCAGTGTACCAGCATTCCTCTTTCTGTCTCTGAGGTGACGACGACACAGAGAAACTATTGATAACCACATTAAACCCCAGAGCTTGCTTGTGCTGAAATGCGTGACACTGTAACAGCAATTTAGTTTTAGGCTTTTTTTCCACACTTAAGAGTTTTAGCTTTTATTCCCTCTGCTTTAACTATTTATAATTAGCCTAAAAGCATAATTGCCTGAGTCATTTTTTTTGCCAAATATAACTTAGGCAATAATGCTATTAGGCTAACTTTATGCAAAAGTATTACAGTTGAAAGAGGGGCAGCTTCCCGGCATCAACAGTGGCATAAAGCAGAAGATGAAYAGTGCATTCCTCAGATTAAACCAAAGCAGTATCTGTTGCTTTTATTCCTTCTTTTGTTCCACTCAGTTCCTGCTCAGAACACAACAGACCCAGCTCTTCATGCACCAGCTGACCCCCCGTGGCTCCATCTATGACTCAAGCCTGGCAACTGCATAGAATCACTCCTTTGTCTTCACAAAGAATGCCTCTTTTTTGACTTTCTTTTTTGGAAAACAGATGCAGAGAGAGAGAGAGAGAGTGACAGAGGCACTAGATGATGATAAAAGATCCAAACTTGACGATGATGACTGATTTATGTTTCCCCTGCAGGCAGGAGCTTTCTCTACTGCAGCAACTTAAAAGTCTKGTCTTCTGCTGCCTGTTGCATCTTATTGTAGAGTTTTAAACTGAGAACRTTATGTTGAGAGGGACAGAGTCATATTTGTCAGATCTTGTAAATAATATGTGCAATCTCATGTAAATCGATATTGTGACAATGCAGTTTTTGCAGTGTTGACAATGACTTTCAGTCACTACCAGCAGGTTTTAACTCAATATTTGTAAAACTGACTGAATTATAACCATTTAACCAGAGTTTACTGTAATAGCAGATAGTAAAAATAGCTTTTGCTTGTCCAGTTAGAGTTTGTCTCTCAACTACTAACACAGAAAATTTTAGCACATCTATAAACTTGTTTGAAAGGTCACAGCTGCGGCAGCCATTTTGAATTGAGTTRATTTGTACAGTTAAGGAGTTGTATTTCCAGTGTTATTTGAGAAGTTCTTTAATCTATTGACTGGTTTATGAGATATTTAGCTTAAACTAAAGACACTCAAATAAGTTTGTATTTCTATCCTTATTAAGACTGTCCATTGACTTCCATTCATTTCCAGTCATTWGTAYAGCCTAACCCTGACCCCTTACACTAAATTTCTAACCCTCCATCCAAAAATGGCATTTGAACTTATAGGGTCTGGGCTTTGGGCCCCATAAAGAGCAGTGGGTTCTCACTAGTATATTTGGGAAAAATTGGTCATTTGAGGTAAAAAAAAAAATGCTAGAACACACACACAAACTAAAACTTGATCACCTTTGGAGGTGGGTGCTATTAAGATCTTAAATACTTGAGAACAAAGTTGTGATCAAGTATGAAAATAGGAGCAAAAAGGAAGAATGAAACACACAAGCCAAACTTTYCATTTGTACAGATAGTTTTCCACAACTGTTGTACTAAAAGCATTTAGTTCTGTTTGTTTTCTCCTGTTTTCTCAGGAACCRTGAGGCCTGATGAGATCCTCTGTAGTCAACATCAGTAACAGCAGAACATCAGAGAAAACRGAGAACTAATCTTGACAGATCAAACTAATGCTTGGAAATACACTGAACTGAAACAGTGTATTTTCTTAACTGAAGCAGAGTAGTAGTAGTAGTAGCTCACAAAGAGGCTCGTGTTGTATGGACATCAAACTGTTACAAATGTGTAGGAAACACTGAGAAAACAATTCATGCAAAGCGAAACCTTTCAGAGACCTGAGAATCAAGGGGAAACCACAACTTGGCCAATGACAGGTCTGAGCTTTGAAATCTTTTAATTCCTTAATTAGCGCTTTAGCTTCATGGGTTTGTTCGCAGTCTTCAATAGAAAAGAGCTGGTGAGGAAATTTTCAAACTTTATAAATACTTTGGCTCTTTAAACCTTGTCTCAACAATCAGCAGCCCAAAGCTCGTCCAATCAGCTGAGGACTATAATAGCTCAAATAAATCACAAAATTCTTAGAGTGGAAGGCTGTGGGAAGGTGGCCAAATGTTTTTAGGTAACAGCTTCATTGATTTATATTATTGAGAAATAACTCTGGTATTGGATTTAATTTTTGTTCTGGTTTTGGTTTTGATCATCGTGCATCTCAGATCTGTTCTTGATTTCTTTTTATATTTGTCAAAGTTGAACTCTGGTTTATGGTCTTCATCTCTGCTCTGGGTTAATCTTATTTCATGTATTTATTTATTTATTTTGGCTCAGGTTTCACTCTTTGTA